CGTGTTCTACCGCCGCTGGCGGAAAATCGCAGGGGTTCACTGGGGGTTCCCAACCCGTCCCCCCCCCACCCCCCTCTCGCAAACCGGGGGGGGTCCCTACCGGTTCGAGAACCCCCCCCAGTCCATCATGAAAATGAAAGGGGAGGGGTCACTACCGGTTCGAGACCCCCCACCCCCTGGGGGGGGTCACTACCGATTCGAACATCCCCCCCTTCGCCGCCGGCAAACGATCCCCGCTCGTCGGGACAGATGGACAGTAGTGGGGATACTGGGACAGTGGTGGGGGCGGCGGTGGTGGGGACGGTGGTGTGGGGACAGTGGGACAGTGGTGCGGACAGTGGAACAGCGGTGAGGACGGTAAGTGTTGGGGACAGTGATGAAGGCGGTGGTGATGACGGTGGTGAGACAGTGATGCAATGGGGAGAAGGGTGGGGACCGTGGGGACAATGGGACAGTGGTGGGGACAGCGGGGACAGCGGGACAGCAGTGGGACAGCGGCGGGGACAGTGGGGACAGCGGTTGGAACAGAGGGGACAGTGGTGGGGACCGTAGGGGAAGTGGGAAGAATGGGACCGTGGTGGGACAACGGTGGGGAAAGTGAACACAGTGAACACTGGTGGGGGCACTGGTGGGGACAGCGGGAACAATGGTGGGAACATTGGGGACAATGGGACAGTGGCGAGTACTGTGGGACAGTGGTGGGGACGGTGGAAGTGGGGACAGTAGTGCGGGGACAGTGGGAATGAGATCGGGACAGTGGAACAGTGGTGGGGACAGTGGTGAGGGCGGTGGCGAGGACGGTGGTGGGACAATGGGACAGGGGTACAGTGGGAACAGTGGTGGAGACAGTGGGGACAGTGGTGGGGACAGTGGGACAGCACAGTGGGACATTGGCGGGACAGTGGGACAGTGGTGGGGACCGTGGAGAAAGTGGTGGGAGTGGGACCGTGGTGGGAACAGTGGTGGCGTGACGAAAAAAGGGGGGAGTGGGACCGTGGTGGGAACAGTGGTGGAGACAGTGGGACAGTGCGACAGTGGTGGAGGCACTGATGGGGACAGTGGGGACGGTGGTGGGAACAGTGGGGACAGTGGTGGTGGGGGGACAGTGGCGCTGTGGACAACAGTGGGGGATGCGGTGCGGACGGTGGTGGGGACCCGGGAGTCGTTTGCTGGCAGGGAATGGGCGGGGGGCTTCGAACCGGTAGTGACCCCTCCCTTCTACGAAGAAGGGGGGCTTTTGACCGCAGTACCCCGCCCCTGGATTTCTGGAGGGGGGTCGAACCGGTAAAGAACCCCCCCCCCGCCGTTTCTGGAGGGGGGGTTCGAACCGGCAGTGACCCCTCCTTTCCAGACGAGGGGGGGGGGTTCGAACCGGTAGTACCCCCGCCGTTTTCTTGGGGGGGGGGGGAAGGGGGGGGTTCGAACCTGTAGTGACCCCCCCCCCGTTTTCTGGAGGGGAGGGGGGAGGGGTTTGGGGGGGGGGGCTGCGAGGAAGGGGGGGGGGAGGGGTTCCAGCAGGGGGGGGATTTTCGAAGGGGGGAGGAGGGACCACCGGGCTCTGGAGGAATAGGGGGGACTTTTCCATAGTAAAGCAGCAATGGATCACGCTTTTTTGTTTGTTCTCTCTCTCTCTCTCTTACATATATATATATATATATATATATATGCGTGCATGTATGCATGTATGTGTATATATACATATATATGTATATACACACACACTCCTTTTCCTATAATCTAGGAGAGTGGGACCCCCCCAAATAAACAAACATAATCCCCTGTATACCCTTGCAAAAGGTCCCCCGGTTCGTCCCGGACCTCTCAGGGCGCTTAGCAGGGTCTTGCCAAGAGACCCCAGGTGATCAGAGCGGTGATCAGACAGGCCGAAGAGAGACCCAAGACAGCACGAGAGCGAGGACCCAGATGGCCTCCACAGGCCCCCGAGACGGCCCAGGAAACCCTTAACAAGACTCCAAAAACGCAGAAACCGCTGCACTCCCGCAAACAAGCGTACAATTTCAGTATATTCGCTGTTCGGGTCTCAGCAGCGTCCAAAACAAAAAACTGGTATCGCCCTAAGACGGCCCCAGAGACCCCAAAGAGAGCCTCTAGACGGCCTGGATGGCCCCAGGACTGCCCAACGAAGTTCCACATGGGCCGAAAAAAACACAACAGGCGCTCACAACGCCCCCCAAAAAAGCCAAGGCGGCCATGGGGGGCCCCCCCAAAAAACCCTGGGATGCCACCGCGAGGGCCCACGTTGCCCCCGCAAGGTCCCCTGAGGGCCCAAACGTCTGTACACGGCCCGAGGTGGTCCTAAGACGGCTCGAGGGGGCCCCACGCCGGCCCACCATGGCTCCAATATGGCCCACGCGGCGCTGTTCACCAAACTGACCCGAACCTCAGGTTCGCAACCACATTTCTCTACATTTTGCTGCGAAGCCAGGAGTGTGTGCGTTCCCGAAGAATTACTAGATTTCGCGTCCCCCGTTGCGACCTGTTGCAACATGACGTCTTCGGCTTGGCATTGGTTTGCACCTTGCGGCGATGCTTGGTGTTCATTCGCGTGGCTTGCCATTCCTTCGCATTGCGCACCAGGGCACCTAAGCTACGAGTGGGCCAATGTGCGGGCCTACGAAGGCCTTTCGTCATCATTCACTGCCCGACATTTCTGCAAGCGTGGACGTACCGTTCGCCCGCGGGGTTGGGCGGCTTCTGGACAACGCTCCCCGGTGCGGCGCAACCGAAATTCTTCGCCGTCCCCCGACGGCGACATCTCTTTCCCTCTTCCTGCTCCTTCTCTGTCCTCCTTTTCCTCCTCCTCCTCCTAATCCTCCTCCTCTTTCTGCCGCTCCACCACTCGTCCTCCCCCACGTCCGCTTCCCTCTCCTCGCTCCCCGAAATTACCTCCCTCCTAACCTTCGCCCTCCACCCGGCGCCTTTCGGGAGCACCAGAGGCCCAGGAAGGGCCACGGACCGTCCGAATGTTCGTAAGTTTCCGAAAACCACCGCGGGGGAGACACCAAATTTCCATAGCCGCTACTGTGATGCGCACAACTAGATATGGTAGTTGTGGGGAAGTTGTGGATCTCAATTTGGTCTTAACTTTATCATGTTAACTTGATATTCAAGATGCTAACTTGATCTTCCAAATCTTAACTTGAACAATGCAAGTTGTGGAAGATACGGAAGACAGTTTTTGTCGCGTATATTTTGAAGCGGTGTTTTTGCAGCGTGTAAGTTACGGTGAAGTTAGTTTCTGAAGTGGTTCTAGTTGTGGAAGTTGCGTTCTAGTTATATGCTGGCTTTTGTTATTACTGTGTTTCAACTTTTTTGTAAGAAAACATGCGTTGCGGACATAGGTTTTCTACACTGTCTGCGTTAAAATAAAAATGCGTTTTGTATGCCCCCCATAGCGTTGGATTGATGTGTTGTTTCTCGAGAGCTTTGCGCAGCATTCAATCATGCGCTTAGCGCCCCCTTCGTCTCCTCCTCCTTCTCCTCCTTCTCCTCCTTCGCCATCTCCCCCCTCCAACGTACCAAGCTCCTCCTCCTCCGTCTCCTCTTCTCCTCCTCCTCCTCCTCCTCCTCCTCCTCCTCCTCCTGGAGCCTGGAACGTGAACTCTGCATTTCCTCCAGGATGACGGGGGAGGAGGAGGAGAGAGCTCCCCCCTCCCCTCCCCTCCCCTCCCCCTCCTCCTCCCCCTCCCCCCCCCCCCTCTCCTCCTCCTCCTCCACCTCCTCCTCCTCCTCCTCCTCCTCCTCCTCCTCTCCTCCTCCTCCTCCGCCTACGCCCCCCCTCATTCCCCAATAAACCCTTAACGCCCCCCATTTTCTTGCCAGTCCTCCTTCTCCTGCTCCCTCCTCCTACCTCCTCCTCCTCCCCTCTCTTCCTCCCCTCTCCTCCTCCTCCTCCTCCTCCTCCTCCTCCTCCTCCTCCTCCTTTTCCTCCGCCTCCTCCTCCTCCTCCTCCTCCTCCTCCTCCTCCTCCTCCCGGGAGGGGGGAGGAGGGAGAAAGGGGAATGGGGGAAGCCAGGATGACGAGGAGGACGAAGGGCAGGAGGAGCAGGAGCAGGAGCAGGAGGTGGGCGCCGACCAAGAGCGTCGTCAGCTGGCACTAACGACGACAGGCTAGACTGTAAGGGGAAACCTCAGGAAAGCGTGGGGCAGGGCGGCCAGAAAGGAATGAGCACGCCTGCCACGCAGTCCGAGGGATCAATCATCCAGGGAGCACCCTGGAGATGGGTGCAGACCCGCACGGGCCCTTTGCAGTTTCCTCTTCTGCTTATCCCGAGTGGACGGAACGCGAGAAGCCCCAGAGCAGGGGCTCAGAAGGGACCTCGGGACCCCACGGGGCAGAATAAGGAAGCCAGCGCACACAGTACAAACGCAAACCCGCCCGATCTGCGCCATGACATGGCCTAGATCGTTGAACTCCTGAAACGCAGCCGCCCCCAATCCCTGAGGACGAGTAGGCGAGGCAGCAGGAGGGCCGGCACCAGCCACAACAGGAGGCTGGAGGCGGGCGGGAGGGGGCAAGCGGCACCAGCAGCAGCTAGGGCAGTCCCGACCGCCTGGGCCTGAAGGGCCTGGGCGTGTGGCCCCAAGGAGCGGAGCCATTCCTCAGCCTCCCAGGCCGATATGGAGGATCGCTTACACTCTCTCTGTTCACCATTGCAGAGATGGGCTAGCGTGCTAGGAGAACGAGCGTCGACGAAACAACGCCTGCATCGAACTTCGCCTGGCCGAACGTCCATCACGAATGTATGCTCATGGGTTGCGAGCTGGATCACATGCGCACGCGTAGGTTTGGGGCACGGTGGGGGAGGAGGGATGTCCGTCCACCTCCTGAGCTTCGCCAGCCTAATCGCAGCCCACGAGACAGACTGGATAGTGGTTTTATGAGACTGCAACTCGGCCTGGACAAACCCTGGGAAACCATGACACGCCTGGAAGCCCCGTTGGCGAAACAAATCGGCCCAAGCATTTCCTACCCACACCGCGAGGTCACATCCCCGCTGAAAGGCCTGCTCGATGGAGAGGTGGGCGGGGGCCCACACGAAGGAGGGGGGCTCGGCGTCAATGCGCCGTTCGCTATGAGCGAAGATGGACCTCCAGACACCAGCGTACTTCTGCATACCACAGGCTAATTCTGGGTCCCAGCTCTGGCCCTCTCTGACGAGGGAGAGGAGGTCCGAAACAAAAACCTTTAGATCGGGGTTGACGCGGACCGCCTGAAGGGCCGCCGTACGCTCGGCCAGGCCAACTGTTTGGATAGGGCCCACAACATTCCCGACCAGAGCCCGCGCAGGGAGGAGGTCCGCGCAAAGCTGCACTATCGCCCAGCCCGCTCTGCGCACCTCTGGCACCGCGGATCCCTGGGCACTGCCATCTCCGACGACGACGGGCCCCCCACGACCCCCCCCACGCCCCACCACTCCCAAACCTCAGGGATCTCCAGTGGCCGCGGGGTGCTCACAGAAAGCACGGGAAGGGCATAAGACAAATACGGGTAGTGTTAAATTCGGGGCACCCTTGGGGGCGCGCTGAAGCGCACAACGCCTCCCGATGAGAAAGAAACCTCTCAGGCACAACCTCCACTCCCAGCTCTTGTTCTCTCTCATCGGGATCGAGGAGGCTGGGGCAGTCGCACCAGACGTGGCCATGCGAGCCGTCTGGCGAGCCGCACGCAACGCAAGCTGGCTCGATCTGGCGCCCCCACGCCGCACGCCGCGGCGCAGCCGGGAAGCGGCCAGCCCACAACGCCCTCAACGCACCCATCTGCGTGTTCGGGAGCTCGCTGAGGCCGTTCCTGAGGGCCCGCTCCCAAAATGTTGTAGGAGGCCTCCTCGACCTGGGGAAGCGCGCCCAGCAACTTCTGCATCTGCCATCTCTTGATGCCCGCCTCCAAGAAAGTCTTCAGGTCGGCGGGCGCCACCAGCAACATATCGTGATAATTGCCACACTCATCCCGCCAAATGTGCGGGGCCGCAAAATCCCATCCGATGCGGCGTGAGGCGAGGAAGGCGGCCGCGAGCGGCCCCCGCACCCCAGCCCAGGTTCGCCCCGCCTGTGCACGAGGAACCAATTCAGCCCAGGCATATCTCACGTCGCTGAGGGGTACTCGGCCGTCCCATATGAAGCAGTGCACCCTAGACAAAATCGACGTCGTCGCGTCGAAAATCGGGTCGTAACGCAGCTGCCTTACTGACAGTGCAAAAATGGAGTGTTGGAAGCACGAGCAGGGGCGCCGACAACCAGCGCAACGACGGATCGCATCTGCTTCAGCACTTCGTCGGGTACACCAGCAACGCCTGCGCCATGCCCAGCGGATGGCTGCGCTCCCGATCGCCATAATATGGAAGCCTTGCGTCCCGCCACACCCCTGAACATGAACAAGTTGTTGACACTCATGCGCTCCTGCTGCCTCGATGGACGCACTCCCATGGTCTCGCGCCCCAGGTTGTGCATCCACGAGCGCACAGGTATGCGACCACGTAGCCGAACAGCCTCGGCTCGGGGAGAACGCGTAGCAGGCACGAGCCCCGACTTCGTGAGATTGAACCTGGAGCCGAGATCGTGCGAGTCCTGCTGGAATAGCTCCACCGCCTTTGCCAGCCTTGCGATGCCCGCCTTGTCGGGGCCCACGTACTGGATGGAAACGTCGTCAACCAGCATGCGGGGCTGCAGCGGGACAGGCGCCTGCGTAATCCGCAAGATGTCCCGTAGAGTAAGGAGCTCCAGCATGCCGCCAGCCGCAGTGCAGCCTGCAAACAGCCCCTGGTGCGTGACAACCTGCTCGGAGATCGACCCGTGGCCCTTGAGCCAGCCTCCTGGGCATGCAGCACTGCTGGATCAGCATCCACATCATACGTGGCGGATAGCCCCAGAGGAGTCCCTCCCTGAAAAGCTGGGAGGGCCGCGCCATGTCGTAGGCCTTCGCGAAGTCCAGCAGGGCGCTCGCGACAAAGAAACCCTTGAGAACTCCAATCTCAGCCTGCAGTACGTGCTCGAAAGCGCTGTCGCTGGATGTGCACCTCGGCCGCGTGCCCCAAGACCCCTCGCATCTGTGAGCGGCCGGCCATGCACGAGCGATGGGCCTTCGTAACCTGCCCCAAATTCTGAGGAACGAGTCGAGAACGGCAATGAGTCGGTGCCCTGAGTCGGGCCTCGGGATGCGGCACATCATAGCCCACTGGCGGTCCTTGGGCCAGGCGAGAAGCTCCTCGCAACGCTGAAGAAGCTCGGCCAACTTCTCGAGGGCCCTGTCGGAGAGGTGCCAGAGAAGCCGAGGATGTAGGGCCGTAGGGCTACCAGCAGTGCGTTCTGAATAGGACAGGATGACGTCGCGGACCTCCCGAACACCAATGCGAGGAAGCCGAGGCCATTGATCTGAGTCAGGAGGGAGCGACACTGGCACACACCCATGATAACCCCAGATCTCAGCCCACTCCTTCAAGTCAGTGTTGACGAGGGCGTGGGGCTGCATACCTTCGCGTAAACGGATCCATGGCAAGACCTCGCCGGGCGCAGGAACCTTGGAGGCCTTGTGCGCAACGCACGCACCCTTCGCAAACGCATCCCTGGCCCAAGACGTCCATGCCCTGGAAGCCGCAGAAGTATCCTCCTTGGAACGTCGATTCGCCTCCTTCTGAACTGCCCCCTGCAAGCTGCCGGAAGTCGGGGCCACCAGAGTGTCGATGCCCGACTCAAGGAAGGAAACGAGCTGCACCGGCAAAAGGGAAATCACCACCTTGCTGCGGAGCACGTTCGCCAACAAGAGCTCAACGTCGCGCAGGGCGGCCAGGATGGTCGTGCACTGCGAAGGTGTAAAAAGGGGCGCACGTGTGGGCGAGCTGCGACCTCGCGACCAGCTCGCGTAGCCGCCCTCGTTCACGTCCGATGTGGGCCATCCACTTGGCCGCCGTGCGCCGCGCCATGGTGATAGGCCGCTGGGGCACCCGCTTGCATGGGGGCTTCCAGGCTACCTTCCCCCAAACAAATGCAGGAGGGCCCGAGCGCCCCTGACGCGCCAATGCCTTGGGCCCCAACAGGTCAAACCGATTGGTGAGCCCCGCCTCGATACCGTCGGTCACGGAGTCCCAGGCGTGGGCCAGGTCCTCTGAGTCCTGGGCAGCGCTGATGATGCCGGAGTCCCAATCCATCGGGTACCTCGCACAGCCAGGAGGTACCTTGCGAGGAAGGGACCGCGGTAGGTCGGGTACAAGACGCCATAAAGGGACGTCTTGGGCCTGCATGTGGATCTCGACTGGCGAGTGCGGGAAAAGGTCAGCTCCGCGCGTCCTGAGGTATCCTGGCCGCCAGGTTGCAGGACGAGATAAAGTAGTCCAAGGTCGTTCCAGGGGTCGCCTGTCTGCAAGTAGGCAACGCAGGAATGAAGGCTGTGGCCCCGACTGAGTTGACCCAAGGGTAAGCCAGGGCCACCGCAGGGTCGTTGTTCCAATCACCTCCAACCAGCCAGTCATGACCCCTCGCGTTTAGAAGACATAAAATCCGAACCATGCCCCATATGTGGACGGTATTACACGGGCCCATAGCATCCTGGTCCAGGTAGAGGCTGCCAGCGACGAAGCCTCCGCGCACACCCCAATGAACATGAACAAACATGAGGCGTCCTGGGACGACCACCGCCTCGTCAAGCCCGGGCTTAGAGATCATGATGTCGGTGCGGACCAGGATGGCGACCCCGCCGCCCGTGCCACTCTGGGACTTGTCGCTGTCGATCGCGGGGGACCAATGGCCATGCCAACCAAGATCGCGAGCCCTGCCTCGCGCCTGCTGCAACCGATCCTCAGTGAGGCGGTGCTCCTGCACGATGAGGACCTTGGCCGTGGCCAAGGGCAGGTAATCGAAGGGGCAGCCGTGGGAGGTGACGTTGACCGCGGCAATGGACCCCTTGATGGCCTGGCCAAATTTCGATGCCAACTCGCCCTGTGCAGGGGCTGAGTTCCGTTCTGAGGTCGTAGCCAATTTCCGGCCAGGTGAGCGCGTAGTAAGTGCCACGTCGGGGGGCAGAAGCCAGGGTTCCCCAGCCTGCTGACCCAGCAGAGGGCCCCGCCCCACTCGCAGAAGACAAAGTACCAGCGGGACATGGGGCCACCCTCCCCGCAGTGGTGGACGCAATCGATGTAGGTCCAGCCGGTGATGTCGATGCACCAGCTGTAGCCGAAGCCGCCGCACCCGGTCGATCTGCTCCCCTGAGACGACGTGCTCCTCTAGGTCGAGGTCGTCGAACGGGTCGTGCTCGCCTAGTAGCGCGGGGCCAGTCGGCCTCGGCCCAGGAGAACCACAGTGAATGTCCGTAAGATGTGGCAAGCCTTCACGCACCTTACCCTCACGTAGCTCGACATCTCCAGGACGATCGGGATCGGCGTCGCCGCGCGCCAGTAGAAGCGCGGCGGTTTGGAGGCTAGAGACCGCCCCCCCCGTCGTCCAAATCGTCGATGAGGCCTCCGTCCCAAGGGCGCCAGGTGCAGCGGGGGGTACGAGGGGGCCGCCACGCTTGGCTGACACGCCCTCGCCCTTGCCCGCCGCCGCTCGTTTCCGAGACGGTGACCCCAGCAAGGCATGGACGTCAGGGGCCGACAGGTCTCCCAGCCAGGGCACATGGGCAGTCGAAGCCGAGGGCATAGCACCCGAGCCCAAGTGAAGCTCCCCAACATCGGCCGCACCCGTCTGGTAGACGCAGAGGAAGCAGAGCGTCAGGAGGAACAGATGGCCCTTAGGACGCATTCCCAGTCCTACGCTTCTTGCCGAGCATCTGCAGCTCCGATTGGAGGCGCTTGACATTGGCCCGCACTTCTGCCTCGTCCGTCTGCTGCTCATCCTTGCCCAAAGTAGACAGCATGAACTCCCGCAGCTCCTCGAGGTCGGCGTCGCCCATGCTGACATCGGGAGCATCTTCAGGAGCACCAGCAGCAGAAGGGGGGCGCTCCTGAACAGCAGGTGGAGGTACTTGAGCGGAAGCACTAGCCTCCGCCGCCTTGGCATCGTGCTCCTGCTTGGCCTTGCGCACGCGCCCAACGAAGGGGATGACCTGCTGCAGGCAGAGCTCGGACAGCTCTTCCCCTGCGCCCAGGTGCCTGATGACCTTCTGGAGCTGCCCCAAGTTCGCCGCGAAGCCGTCGAGCACCGCATCAGCAGCCTCGGCCGGCTCAGTAGGAACCTTGCACTGCAGCAGCTCCAAATGCTCCCGCTCCAGTCCATGCTTGTCCTTGCACTTGGCACCGATCTGCTTGCGCAGGCCCAGCACGAGCTCCTGCTTCTGCTTTATGATGAGCTCCTCGGTCCCGACGGAGGCCTCGAGCTTCTTGATGGCCTTGCCGGCAGTCTGAATCCTGTTGGCAAAGCCGTGAGC